TCCTCATTAACTTCCCCATTGCCCTCCCATTGCCCATGGGATGAAGATGAGGATGAGGATGGGGAGCACCAGAGGAACCATGGCCCACAGGGTCCCATGGATGCAGGGATGAAGATGAGGATGAGGATGGGGATGAGGATGGGGAGCACCAGAGGAACCATGGCCCATGGCAGTCCCATGGGTGCAGGGATGAAGATGAGGATGAGGATGGGGAGCATCAGAGGAATCATGGCCCATGGTGTTCCCATGGATGCAGGGATGAGGATGAGGATGAGGATGGGGAGCAGCAGAGGAGCCATGGCCCACAGTGGTCCCATGGGTGCAGGGATGAAGATGAGGATGAGGATGGGGAGCAGCAGAGGAAACATGGCCCATGGTGGTCCCATGGATGCAGGGATGAAGATGAGGATGAGGATGGAGGCTGAGGATGAGGATGGGGAGCACCAGAGGAACCATGGCCCATGGTGGTCCCATGTGTGCAGGGATGAAGATGAGGATGGACCATGAGGATGAGGATGGGGAGCACCAGAGGAGCCATGGCCCACGGTGGTCCCATGGATGCAGGGATGAAGATGAGGATGAGGATGGGTGAACACCAGAGGAACCATGGCCCATGGCAGTCCCATGGATCCAGGGATGAAGATGAGGATGGATGCAGGGATGAAGATGGGTGAGAACCAGGGGAACCATGTCCCATGGTGGTCCCATACATGCAGGGATGAAGATGAGGATGAGGATAAGGACGAGGATGGGGATGGAGGATGAGGATGAAGATGGAGGCTGAGGATGGGGATGAGGATGAGGATGAAGGTGGAGCTCAGGACATCACGGTGGTGATTCTTCCATCAAGATGGAGCTCAGGAAATGGTGGCACCAGCACCGTGGAGATGTCCCCATGAGGATGGAGCTCAGGAGCTCATGGTGGTGATGTCCCCATCAAGATGGAGCTCAGGAGATGGTGACACCACCACCATGGTGATGACCCCATGAGGATGGAGCTCAGGAGCTCATGGTGGTGATGTCCCCATCAAGATGGAGCTCAGGAGTTGGTGGCACCAGCACCATGGTGATGACCCCATGAGGATGGAGCTCAGGAGCTCATGGTGGTGATGTCTCCATCAAGATGGAGCTCAGAACATGATGCTCCCCTTCAGGGTTGAGCTCAGGAGCTCATGGTGGTGATGTCCCCATGAAGATGGAGCTCAGGAGCTCATGGTGGTGATGACCCCATCAAGATGGAGCTCAGGAGATGGTGGCACCAGCACCATGGAGATGTCTCCATGAGGATGGAGCTCATGAGCTCATGGTGGTGATGTCCCCATCAAGATGGAGCTCAGGAGATGGTGGCACCAGCACCATGGTGATGACCCCATGAGGATGAAGCTCAGGAGATGGTGGCACCAGAACCATGGTGATGTCCCCATGAGGATGGAGCTCAGGAGATGGTGGCACCAGCACCATGGAGATGTCCCCATGAGGATGGAGCTCAGGACATCATGTCCCCACCACCATGGTGATGACCCCATGAGGATGGAGCTCAGGAGCTCATTGTGGTGATGACCCCATCAAGATGGAGCTCAGGACATGATGTCCCCTCCACCATGGTTATGTTCCCCGAGAGGATGGAGCTCAGGAGCTCATGGTGGCGATTCCCCCATCAAGATGGAGCTCAGGAGATGGTGGCACCAGCACCATGGAGATGTCTCCACCATGATGGAAATCAGGACATGGTGGCACCAGCACCATGGAGATGTCCCCATCAAGATGGAGCTCAGGAGCTCATGGTGGTGATGTCCCCACCAAGATGGAGCTCAGGACATGATGTTCCCCATCAAGATCGAGCTCAGGAGCTCATGGTGGTGATGCCCCCATCAAGATGCAGCTCAGGAGATGGTGGCACCAGCACCATGGTGATGTCCCCATGAGGATGGAGCTCAGGAGCTCATGGATGTGATGCTCCCATCATGACAGAGCTCAGGAGATGGTGGCACCAGCACCATGGAGATGTCTCCATGGGACATCTCCCCATGGAGTTGATGGGATGGGATGGGGCACACTGGCGGTTGGGATGAGGCAGCTCTGGGGGGGGTCACATCTTGTGTGAGGACCTCCCCGAGCAGTGGTGGTGGTGCCCATGGTGGGATGGGGCCCGGAGCCACCGGGGTGCTGGGATGCACCGAAAGGGAGATGAGGAGAAGGACTTGGGGGGTGTTGGGTGGGGAGAAGCTCCTGAGGTCATCACTGGTGGGGGAACGCGGTGGGAGATGCTTTGGTTGATGGTGGCCACGGTGGGGAGGTGGAGAGGAGAAGGGGAGACCTCAGAGCAGCTCCCAGTGCGTAAAGGGGCTGCAGGGAACCTGGATTGGGGCTTTGGACCAGGGATACAGGATGGGAGGAGGAGGAATGGATCCAAGTGGAAGAGGAAGGAGTTGGATGGGATCTTGGGGTGAAGTTCATCCCCATGAGGGTGGTGGGACACTGGAAGGGGTTGAATGGAGAAGCTCTGGGTCACTGGGACTGATCCAGGCCAGGTTGGATGGGGTTGGAGCTCCGTGCTCCAGTGAAGGGGTTCCCATGGATCTCCAAGGTCCATCCCAGCCGGCACCATGAGAGGGGCAGGAGGAGGTCCCAGTGCCCCCCCCATGCACATCCCTGCCCACCATGGCCATGGAAGTGAACCAGCACCGTGCGGGAGAGTCCTCCACGGTGCTCTGTGTGCTTGGCACCACTGGAACACCTGGAGGGAAGAGGAGGAGGAGGGAAGAGCCTGGTGCTGTGGGACCGGTGGGGCTGGAGGAGGAGGAGGGATGGAGGAGGGATGAAGGAGGAGGGATGAAGGAGGGATGGAGGAGGAGAGATGGAGGAGGGATGGAGGAGGGATGGAGGAGGAGGGATGAAGGAGGGATGGAGGAGGGATGGAGGAGGTATGAAGGAGGGATGAAGGAGCTGCCTGACCCAAGGCTGGGCACTTGGTTAATGTTTAAGCAGGTCCTGGGACACGGTGTCCCACAGGAGCCCGGGGCAAACTGGGACATGAAGTTCTCCAGTTGGGAACCAGTTGGGAACTGGGATGGGGGGGGGGGTTGGGTTGGGCGTGAGGTGCCAGTGTAAAACCCAGCCTGGTTTTGGGGGGGTTTGGAGGGTTTCATCCTGCCCAAGAATGGGCATCAACCCCCCTGTCACCATGGCAACGGGCATCCAAACTTACCTCCATGGAGAGATACCTACCCCTGTTTCTCCACAGCAACAACCATCCAACCCCCTATTTCCATTGGAATGGGCATCCAACCCCCTATCTCCATGGCAACGGATATCCCACCCCTTATCTCCATGGCAACATGCATCCTACCCCCTTTTCTCTATAACAGTGGGCATCCAACCCCCTTATCTCCATAGTAATGTGTGTCCAACCCCCGTATCTCCATGGTAATGGGTGTCCAACCCCCGTATCTCCATGGCAATGGGTGTCCAACCCCCCTATCTCCATGGCAATGGGTGTCCAACCCCCCTATCTTCATGGCAATGGGTGTCCAACCCCCGTATCTCCATGGCAATGGGTGTCCAACCCCCGTATCTCCATGGCAATGGGTGTCCAACCCCCCTATCTCCATGGCAATGGGTGTCCAACCCCGCTATTTCCATGGCAATGGGTGTCCAACCCCCCTATCTCCATGGCAATGGGTGTCCAACCCCCCTATCTCCATGGCAATGGGTGTCCAACCCCCCTATCTCCATGGCAATGGGTGTCCAACCCCCCTATCTCCATGGCAATGGGTGTCCAACCCCCGTATCTCCATGGCAATGGGTGTCCAACCCCCGTATCTCCATGGCAATGGGTGTCCAACCCCCGTATCTCCATGGCAATAGGTGTCCAACCCCCGTATCTCCATGGCAACGGGTGTCCAAGCCCCCTATCTCCATAGCAATGGGTGTCTAACCCCCCTATCTCCATGGCAACGGGTATCCAACCCCCTTATCTCTGTAGCAATGGGCATCCAACCCTGCTATCTCCATGGTGATGGGCATCCACCTCCTTATCCCTGTGGTTACGGACATCCATCCCCTTATCTCTATGGCAACAGGCATCCTACCCCCTCATCTCCATAGCAACGGGCATCCACCCCTCCATCTCCATGGGAACAACCCCTCTCCATCACCATTGTAACACAGGCAGGAGGCAGCTCAAATCCATGAGTTTTATTAATTCCTCACTAAAATCCCTGGAAAAGCCGAGTGGAGGCCGTGCCCGGAGACGTGGTCCTCAAGGGGCGGACAAGGCCCGGGTGATGTCCTTCAAGCAGGAGGCGCCTGCAGCATCCTCACCAGGATCTGTTCTTCAGGGGTGATGCCCCTCAAGGCTTGGGCTCCTCCTGGCCCTCACCTGGTGGCCAGGATCTCCTCGGTGGCCATGCGGGCGAGCTGGTGGAAGTCCATGCAGAGATACCTCCTCCAGAAGCGCCGGTCACGGCCGTAGATCGGGGCAGGGAAACAAGGGCTTCCTGCCGGGAAGAGGAGCCTGGTTGGGAAGAGGGGAAAGAGGCAGGGAAGAGCCCGATCCCAACCTCCCCTTCCCCTACCGATGCCATGGAAGATCCTGGCGATGGCTCTGCCGGTGAACTTCTCATCCCGGCGGATGTCGAGGAAGTGCCGGATGTCGGCGCGGATCTGGCTCTCCCAATCCCGCAGCTGAGGATGGGGACATGGGGACACAGGGACAGGTCACATCCATCCTCCCCCTCATCCCCACTAAGACCTGGAGCCCACCAAGACCTGGCACCCACCATGATCTGGAGTCCACCAAGACCTGGAGCCCACCAAGACCTGGCCCTTGGTGGGGGACACGGGGACAGGTCACATCCATCCTCCCCCTCATCCCCACTAAGACCTGGAGTCCACCAAGACCTGGCACCCACCATGATCTGGAGCCCACCAAGATCTGGCCCTTGGTGGGGGACATGGGGACACAGGGACAGGTCACATCCATCCTCCCCTCATCCCCACTAAGACCTGGAGTCCACCAAGACCTGGCACCCACCATGATCTGGAGTCCACCAAGACCTGGAGCCCACCAAGACCTGGCCCTTGGTGGGGGACATGGGGACAGGTCACATCCATCCTCCCCCTCATCCCCACTAAGACCTGGAGTCCACCAAGACCTGGCACCCACCATGATCTGGAGTCCACCAGGACCTGGAGCCCACCAAGACCTGGCCCTTGGTGGGGGACATGGGGACACAGGGACAGGTCACATCCATCCTCCCCCTCATCCCCACTGAGACCTGGAGTCCACCAAGACCTGGCACCCACCATGATCTGGAGTCCACCAAGACCTGGAGCCCACCAAGACCTGGCCCTTGGTGGGGGACATGGGGACACAGGGACAGGTCACATCCATCCTCCCCCTCATCCCCACTAAGACCTGGAGTCCACCAAGACCTGGCACCCACCATGATCTGGAGTCCACCAAGACCTGGAGCCCACCAAGACCTGGCACCCACCATGATCTGGAGTCCACCAAGACCTGGAGCCCACCAAGACCTGGCACCCACCATGATCTGGAGTCCACCAAGACCTGGAGCCCACCAAGACCTGGCCCTTGGTGGGGGACACGGGGACAGGTTGCATCCATCCTCCCCCTCATCCCCAATGGGGCCATGGGACCCAGAGAGCGCCCCAAGAGGAAGGGGATGCGCTCACATTGGCACCATGGAGACCTTCATCTTCATCTTCATCCTCCTCCTCGCCACGCTCAACGTGCTCCTTCTCAAAGTAGTCACTGAGCAGAGCCTTCAAGCGGGAGCTCCTCTGCTCTTCCTCATGCACAGGGTGAGGGCCATGGGTCTGGAAGGCCACGCTGCAGCCCAGCATCAGCATCCTCCTCCTCTCTCCTTCCCAAACTGGGAGGGATGGGCAACCACTGGGGCTACCAAAGCCAGGGCTCTGTAGGGTTCTGGGGGTCTTCTCCAGCCACACTCACCTCTGGAAGGCCTGGAAGCAGGCCCGGAGCTGGCCAAGGGCCATCTTCTCCCTGGCCACCACTCTCTGGTGGAGGAAGTCGCAGACGGAATCGAGCTCCTCGTCGCTGAGGTCGCCGTAGACGCGGAGGTGGAAGGAGAGGTCTCCAAACTCCACCAGGACCCCGCTGGTCCCAGCAGTGCGGCCGTCTGAAGGCACCAAGAGAGGCTTGGGACCAACAAGGATCTGGAGCCCACCAAGACCTGGAGCCCACCAGGACCTGGAGCCCACCGGGACCTGGTGCCACCATGATCTGGAGTCCACCAAGACCTGGTGCCCACCAAGACTTGGAGCGCACCAAGACCTAGAGCCCACCAAGACCTGGAGCCCACCAAGACCTGGCACCCACCAAGACCTGGAGCCCACCAAGACCTGGAGCCCACCAGAACCTGGAGCCCACCAAGACCTGGAGCCCACCAGGACCTGGAGCCCACCGGGACCTGGTGCCACCATGATCTGGAGTCCACCAAGACCTGGAGCCCACCAAGACTTGGAGCGCACCAAGACCTGGCCCTTGCCAAGATCTGAAGGCCATCAAGACTTCATGCTCACCAAGACCTGGTGCCCACCAAGACCTGGAGCCCATCAAGACTTGCACCCCACCAAAGCCTGCAACCCACCAAAACGTCATATCCACCAAGACCTGGAGCCCACCAAGACCTGGAGCCCACCAAGATCTTGCCCTCACCAAGACCTAGAGCCCACCAAGACCTAGAGCCCACCAAGACCTGGAGCCCACCAAGACCTAGAGCCCACCAAGCCCTGGAGCCCACCAAGCCCTGGAGCCCACCAAGACCTGGCACCCACCAAGACCTGGAGCCCACCAGGACCTGGAGCCCACCAGGACCTGGAGCCCACCAAGACCTGGAACCCACTAAGACATGGAGTCCACCAAGACCTGGAGCCCACCAAGACCTAGAGCCCACCAAGACCTGAAGCCCACCATGACTTGGCCCTCACCAAGACCCCACCATGACCTGGCCCTCACCAAGACCTGGAGCCCACCAAGACCTAGCACCCACCACGATCTGGAGCCCACCAAGACCTGGAGCCCACCAAGCCCAGGCCATCTCCCTAGCCCCCCCTTGCAGGGAACCCGGGCAGACGCCCGCACCTCTCCTCAGCCGTGGGTCCCACTGGAGCTGGCGCAGGGCTCGCTTCACCAGCACCACCTCCCAGCCCATGGAGTCGCTCAAGCAGACCACATTGAACTCCACGGAGCTGCTCTGGACGTGCTCCTTGCCCTCCAGGCGCTCCCGAGCCAGGACCACGGCGACGGGGGGGGAGCTGAGGACCAGGAGACACCAAAACCACGTTGGCCCCCCCATGGTTTGGAGCCCCATTGGCACAACCCACGGCCTTGGTGGCCACCATGGGGGGCTCCTACCTCCGAGCCACGTCCCGGAGCTGCCGGGGTCCTCCATAGCACTGGAGCCGGCACATGGAGTAGGTGGGAGGCAGCACCTCCAACCAGCGCTGTGGGTGAAGCTCCAGGTAGCACAGGAGGGTCTCGATAGCTGCAGGAGAGGAGGTTGAGGAGGTGCTGGAAGGATCCCAAAGGGATCTGGGGGGTCCAGGGCTGGGTATCCCCATCACCTTCCTCACGCAGGTCCAGGGCCTCCACCGTTGGTTGGATGGGGATGGCTCGCTCGTGCTTGTAGCACACCCGGGGCCAGCTCTGCCTTGTCCTGGTCTCCTCCTCTCCCACCTCTTCGTGCAGGAGCTCACCCAGCTCAGCATCTTCCACCTCCCCAGCCTGCAATGGAGGCGGCGAGAGGACACCATCCCAACCATCCCAATGGCTCTCCTGGCCGGGTCCTTCGCCTCACCCTCACTTCCCTCAACTGAGCTCATGGACTCATGGAACGCATTGGAAAGGAGCTTAAAGCTCATCCAGCTCCAACCCCTGCCAAGGGGAAGGGACACCTTCCACTAGAGCAGGGTGCTCCAAGCCCCATGGGGCACTGCCAGGGATGGGGCAGCCACAGCTTCTCCATTCAACCCCTTCCAGTGTCCCACCACCCTCATGGGGATGAACTTCACCCCAAGATCCCATCCAACTCTTCCCTCTTCCACTTGGATCCATTCCTCCTCCTCCCATCCCTCCATCCAATGTCCAAAGCCCCAATCCAGGTTCCCTGCAGCCCCTTAGGCACTGGGGGCTACCCTGAGGTCTCCCCTTCTCCTCTCCACCTCCCCACCGTGGCCACCATCAACCAAAGCCTCTCCCACCGCGTTCCCCCACCAGTGATGACCTCAGGAGCTTCTCCCCACCCAACACCCCCCAAGTCCTTCTCCTCTGCTTCCTTTCGGTGCATCCCAGCACCCCGGTGGCTCCGGGCCCCATCCCACCATGGGCACCACCACCACTGCTCGGGGAGGTCCTCACACAAGATGTGACCCCCCCAGAGCTGCCT